ATTAAGTACCACCATCGGAGATATAGGAAACGTAGGAGTTACACATTTATTGGTGATATTGCACGAACATACGCAGTAAAACACACAGGTGTCGAACGTGGTGTAGATGAAACGAAAACACGAATACATCCTCAAAAGATTTATTATTTGAAGGACTTCCCTCGTCAATGTGAATTTTCTATAGAAATTGAAAATAATCATATGAACTTCGAAATTTACCCTATTCAAGAACAAATTTTTTGTCGCCCTCAAATATTTCGATTATTATAATCCTATGAGTAGTTTTCATTGTTGTTTAACCAAAATTTTGTCATACTGATCATCTTTATTGATTTATATCATCTCAGATTTTTAATATAAACTATGTCTAATAATTCAAATGCAAGTCAATCAGAAAATTAATATACTAAAAAAATCGACAGATGTTCATCAATCCCACCGTCTTTATTCTTTTTGCAAAACATTGTCGCTTGTTTATTTGCAACAAGCAATACAGCTCACATCTTAAATCTAAATCAATAAAAAGAATCACACCCATTGCATTGCAATAAAAACAAAAATAATAATAACATTCTTTCTCTATTGTTATTTTTACAGTATGATAATGAAATGAATTTTCTTTTCCAAAAGAAGTCGAAAGCAATATAAAAGTGTCCGGACAAAAATCTATTTCAAAAGCTTCATTCATCAAAAAACGTACACGTTTTGTTTTTTGAAAGTAATTCATGATGATAATAATAGAAATTGCCATTGCTCTCATTATTTTTTTCCATGTAATGCATATCTCTGAAAAACATGTATCCGAATCCTATTTTATTTTTAATCTATTTATGTTTAATTACAATAAGTTCGAAAGAATATCATGATAAAATAAATAAGTACAAAAACATCTGAATAAAATTCTATTAAAAAAAAAAACGTCTACGACTAGAAAAAATCATCTGTATCATTTTCAAAATCAAGTGTCATATAACGATTTGTATTTAATTTTCTTTTAATGCCTTTTGATAATGATCGATTATCATTATTAACAATTATATTATTAGTTCGATCACGAAGTGCATTTGATGATGAAGAAATACGTTTAGAATTTCTTGGAGATGATGGTGAAGGTGAACGAGATCGTTTATCATCATTGTTACCATTTGTCTAGAAAAAGAATGTATTTAATAAACGGATAAACTATAATGATTGGTTGCTTTTTGCATGTCATATTTTCATTACCTGATATGTTTTATTACAAACCAAAAAAAAAAAAGAATATCACAAGATGTGTCGAGAAATGCTCTACGATTTACGAAAGAAAGCTTATTTTATATATGCATTTGTTGTTTTATGAAAATGACTAAATTCTGTTTAACCAAATTTTCGATACTTTGAACAAGATTATTTTTTGGTAAATGATTGTTTCGCATTTTTAATCTCATCAATTGAAGAAAATTCTATTCACTGACGATAAAAATACTTTTCATTAGAATGTGTTCATGCTGCTAATCGATAGAAGACAAACTAAAAGCCTAAGGATTTAAAAAAATGATCTTATGTCTCCAATTACATTCGAATCTAGTAGTGCAACATTATCACGTGAGAATTATATTGAAGTTCTTCTTTAGCATGTCCAATATGGAAGAAAATCGCTGCCGATCAATAATTTATCTATCAATAATACAACAGGAAGCATTGATGTGGTATGCCAAAAGAATGATCTTCTGCGAGGTGTTAAAAATCAGTCGAACAGAATCTTTTCTTTTTACAAAAGATGAATACATCAAATATATGCTTTTCTTTGCACATTCTAGAGATTTTCTCAATGCAAGTTGTGATACATTTTGTCATTTTTTAATAAAATATATTAGGTTATGAAAAGATGACATGCAAAAAGTGAACATTCATTATAGTCCACTAGTTATGTGACACTGTGACTAAAAGAGTAGCTGCAGTAGCGCATTAATTGAGCTGCTTGCTAAAAAGAATTTTGTAGGAATTGGAACAGAGGCCCACAATCAGTGATCCACTTTTATATTTAAAGTTGTAGACCTCCATTTCATGGATTCAAACGCAAGTCACATGAATCAAACTAAATATTCACTTCAAAGGTCAATCGGTATTCGAACGTCTTTGTGCTGAGAATACCTAGTAGTATCAAATGGTCAATCATCATTGGCTACTCGAAACTAGATACGAGCAGAACCAGTCATTGTTTATCCTTGTCCCAGTTCCGTCTGGATTGGAACCATCTTTGCCATATCTACTCAGTACGTAGTTGTCAGTGTATGCCAGAGCTCGAAAGGGATTGCGCGACCCGAACTTTATTTCTTTTTTCAAGTATGAAGATCGATTTCATTAGATCTTAATCGATTTAGAGAAAAAAAAAGTTTCAATTAGAATTCAATGGCACCAGTCAAATCGATTTTATTCTGATTTTTCGTCAAAATGTCTTACATGGGTTTTACAGCTTGCAATTGGTAATACTGAGAATAAATTACGAATATTAACAGATTTGACTCTGAAATCGGTCAGTGGACATTTTACTCATGAAAGTTTATGTTAATAAATTATAGCCTTCAATAATTAGAAATATCAACGAACGCATTTTGATCTTTCTATTCAATAAGTAATTTTACTTATTTCTTATGCTATTTTTTCAAGCATTCAACAATGTTCTCATAAATGCCTGCAGTCATCGTGGAATTCCATCGTGTAGAAACTCTTTTTTGTAAAAGAAATATACTTTGAATAGTGCCATTTTCAGTTCAATCGGAGCTCGACAGTCCTGAGAAATTCTCGACTCGATGCGAGTCAGACTGGCCCATCAAAAAGTGACTCAGTTTTGAGACCTGGTGAATGTGTAGGCAAAGTTAACAAGCAAACTTCCCTAAGTAATAAAACAATTTGGATATGAATCAATGATTTATCATTTTGTAAAGTTTCCTTATGAACTTAAAACCATGACAATAAATAATACTAACTAATTTCTTGATTAATTTAAAACATGATTGTATTTGTTCTTCAATATTTTTTATAGAATTTGATATAATCAATGGTAAATTTGGATACTGAAAAAGACAAACAAATAGTTTTTATTGAAAAGAAATAATTAAGAAAATCAACAAACTTGTCGAAGTTGAATAATTAAATCAAGAATAATTTGTAATTGTTCTTTATTCATATATTGAAATTGAAGATGTTTTATTGTATTTAAATAAGATTTTATAATAAATGATGTACGATTATTAGTTGAACTATGAATTGATTCAAGAAGATTTATAGCAAGATGATAATGAGAATGTTCTTCATTTGATTTATCAATTGGTAAAGTTGGTAAAGAAAGTAATTCAATACAAAAATAACACATTGATTCAATTAAAATTGATTTATAAGCCATTGTACTATTATCTGATACGAAAGGTAAATAACGAGAAACAAGATCAAATGTCAATTCTTCAATAAGTAAAACGTTAGAACTAAAATTTCAAAAAAAAAACAAAACAACAACAAATAGAAAACATAAGAATTATTTAGATAAATTAACTAACATTGATAAATGAATAAAAAAATAGAAGAAAGAAGTTATATCATCTCGTTGATTTTGATTAATAGATCTGTAATCATTTGAAAAACGATAATCAAGTATAATTTTAAGTAAAGTAATATTTGGTTCAAGACGAGAACTAAGAAATAATTTTATAAGACCAAATATAATAATGTTTTTTATTTCGATATCCTACAAAAAAAAAGAGTTTGAAAATAAAATTCAACCTAACAGATATATCGATTACTCGTTCATCAAACAGATTTAAAAGATATTGTGTTGTAAATTGAGAAGGTGTTAAATTTGATAAATCCATATTTGTTAAAATATCAAGACCATAAACAAGAAGAACATCGATAAAAGTTGATATTGATTGACATTTTAATACGATATTTTCGATTTTATTCTAAAATCAATGTTTTAAAATTATGATCTCCTTAAAATCCTTTACTGAAAATAATAAGCTACAGCATAATTCACATTATAAGAAGTCGTTAAAAGATCCTCACAGTAGAGCTTATCGGATTAGTTCCAGATACGGATCCACCAGTTTCTACCACACAGTGTCCATTTTTCGAAAAGGCAGACGGACATATAACTTTCGTTATTTGACATAGATCTCTTTTGCTTACAACTGATTGCATATCACTCAGAAAATCATGAATATACGATTGATTTTCAATAGAAATACTTTGGAGTCTGAAAAAGGAAACTTAGGCCATGCATTCGTTTTGCTCAACTGAACTATTCAGAAAAGTAGTTTAGAAGACACTTTTTTTTCTGAAAAAGAACACATTCAAATTTAAAGATTTCTTTGATAATCGATACCAAACGATATACAGATTCGGATTATCTATTGTGCATGCCTATCAAATGGTTTACTTTTATCCAACATTGATTTTTTTCATTGATACTAGTGTTTCCAAGTTAATATTTGAATTTCGGTTAGTCCAGTCTATTTAAAATTCGTGATCAAAACTCTTACGCCATTAGATAGACTATGTTTCAAAGTATATTGATTACTATTTGAATCGATGAAAGGGTACTCATGATTTTTTCACCTTATATTCGCCTGGATGCACGGTGTACCCGTCATTTCTGAAAGCTCTCAAGATCGTCTTGACCAAAAATTTTGAAACTTTCAATGCAAATAGATCTCAGTGAATATTAAAAACGTTCTGCTAGATCCATAGTTCTCCGATCACCTTTTCGCCAAGTTCTGAAGAGCTCGCTGAATAAAAATGAGCTAAATATTTTCTTCATTCTACTACAAGCGGCAAAACGGAAGTTTTCTTTGTAACATCTACGAAGAAACTGGTATGCGTATTTTATTAATCATTAAAAAATCTCGAATAGTAAGCTCAGAAGAATCAAATTATTCGCAACGTTGTGAAAAAAAAAACATATTTTCTGATGCGGTATAGTTTTTGTAAGATCAGTAGAGATTCACCAGTATGATATTTTTCAACGAAAATAAAAAAGTTTGTTACAGTTTTTTAGCTTGAAAAATTGAATGTCAGTTTCCTAACTGAGCTCATCGACTAGAGGAGGATACTTCAGTCTATATAATGACTGCAAAAAAGATCAAAAATAAAAATTTCAAAATTTTCGGGTCCGAAAGAAAGAAGTGATCCTCATAAGCATAGACAAAATCGTGTTTTTTGCTGACTGATTAAATCAATCATTGTTGTATCCCAAGTCTTATCCCATTAGAATCTGTTTCAACTGGCATATCCTTAAGAATTATATATTAAGATCACTTTTTCAAAGTCTCATTCATAAAGAATGAATATAAGAAGTATTGATGACTCCAGTCGAGACAGATTTCAAGTGCTACATAACTTTGAAATGCATTTTAATTATTTAAAGAAATATAACGATTTGATATATATAAATTTCAAATTAATATATACCGACGATTAGAAGAACCATCCGGAGACGTATAGAATGTATCTGTGGATGCCAACGAACATTCGAGAAATTCGAATAAAGAAATTTATTACGTGTAACAATAAGGATATAAGCTTCTGTAATTTATCGATCAATAGAAAGTATCAGAATAGCATATTCTTTTATTTAACTATATCATTTTTCTTATGTTATCTGTTATATGTTTTGTACTCCCAAACAATAGGTGTTTATCCTCCCAGAAGAGTTTATTTGGATAAAACATTATTCAGTGTGAAACATAGAAAAACTGATATATTGATTATCAGAATTGATTTTAAAGATTATAAAAGTCAACATACGGTAATATGAAGGTTTTGTTTGATATATTCAATTGCTGCTTGTCGAGAGTGACACATAAGAGATCGTAATGTTGATAAAGTTTGAGATTGAATATCAATATGTTTATGTGACAAACCTGATTTGATCTGAATAAATACAAAAGAAAAATTAAATCAATTTAATTTTTATATTTGATTTACTAATGAATCGAGTAATTGTTTTAAATCTGTATTATTTAATTCGAGTTCTTTTTCTTGTTCAATAAATACTTTTGCTATTGTCATACATTGTATAAATGTTAATTCTTCAAATTGTTCGTTTTGACAACGTTGAATAATATCATTTAATGTATATGTTATTAATTGATATCGTTCATTAATTGTATCGATTGATGGATGAATACGACGAACAAGTTGAAGTGCTTGTTCAATTATTGTTTCATATTGTCCAAAATGTACAAGTATACAACGACCTATAGCTTCAATACATTTACGACGATAAATATCAAGCATATCAAATGTTGAAAGAATTGATGCATATTGACATATAATAAATTCTTCTATTGAAGATAATTTCTTATTGACAGATGATTTAATTAAACGATAAAAATACGAAATAAATTCATGAAAATCTGGATGAATATTTGTATTATCATCATCTTCTTCATTTATTAATTGACATAAAATACGCCATATAAATAAATGTTCAACATAATTTGATACATTTGAAAGTAAAAGATTATCTCTACGAAATAAAATTTTTCTTTGTAATAGGAAAATATTCAGAGAAGTTTTATTTAAAATTTAATTCATGTACATAACAAATGCATCATCAAGAAGGGACCATTTGTATTTATCTCTCTCACGTTTTGTTGTAGAATGATACACTTATTTTCAAAAGGTTTCTCATTAAATATTCCATACATGGCAGACTGCAGTGCCTGATTACTTTTTTTATTTCGGAGAAAAACAATTGTGAGATGCGCGATCAGAAAAGCATAAACAATTTCTTGTTTTTTCTCAGGGAAACTTGCAAGAATTTTGGGAGGACTTTAAGCAACAAATAAAAAAATGGCGTCGTTTACGAAACATTTTCAATATTTCCTAGTTGTTCTTCGTTCTTTTATTCAATTTCAAAATTGACAACTACTAAAGATGAAGCAGGTGCAACCATGATGATAGACTTTTAATTGTATCGTAGTTTTTTTTTTCTGACGGTTATTAGTTAACCTCTATCAAGTATTATTTATCACTGTTACTACTACGTAGTTACAGATACAAACTGACAGAATAAAGAGAAAAGCAATAATAAACCAGAGACATCTAAAATTAGCATCTACTAGATACATCATGCTTCAGTTCAATACTTTCTGTTTTCGACATTTTTCTTTTGCGGTTTTTCTACATCACATCTTTCACTCTACTCCATCTGACGATGGAAGTCTTCCAATTGATTAATTATTTTGAAGTTCGAACTCTGAATATCCTGAAAAGAGTTCAAACGCTTAGCTCATTGCTGCGGAGACATTGCATTTTTACAGTTTTCTGCCAGTACATATAAAACAAAAATAATTCTCATTAAGACTTGTCTCTATGCAAATTGTCAAATCGAAATTGGAAAATAAGTTCTTTTTTTAATGTTCCTAAGGCGGACAAATGCAGTATCTTGCAGCATTAAGACAAAAGTCGGAACTTTTTTCAATGTATTTATAGGTAATTATGATCTATATGAAGCACATAGTTTCGAATCAAATAAAAATACCAAACTGGTTTATGATAATTTGAGAATGTATTTAAACTTACTTGCTGTTACCAATGGCTATTTTTGTATTATTAATAACAATTCGACGAATGTTATCATCATCAAGAAAATATCGTAAACATGTTTCAAGTGTTAAATTGTTATTATTATTTTTCTTATTTTCATTAAAAGATGATATTTTACATAATCGAAGAATATCAACAAGTTCATATCCACTTTGACTTATCCATTGAGT